TGTCGGTTGTGCTCATCTACTAACTCCTGAGTTGGCTCAGCCAGTGACACAGGCAACCTGTTCATTGTACTCGACAGCCCTGGGCTGTGTTTCTAACCCTTCCAGCTTGGGAAGCAGCACAGGCACAATGGGAGGGGATTTACACGCTGTCACCCTTGATGGGAGGACTCAGTCCCTCACAGATTCCTTCCCTCGTCCTCTTCTTCCCCATTTACCTCATAAACACTCGTGGGAGGCTGAAGCAGGAGGAACGGAAGTTTGAGCCCAGCCTGGGCAAATTAGCAACTCAGTGAGACCCTGATTCAAAATAAAACATAAAAAAGTGGGTAGGGAAGTAGCTCAGCCCAAAGGTCCTAGGTTCAATCCCTAGTACAAAAGCCAAACCAAACCAAACCAAACCAAACCACTACTCATGGTGCCTATTATAGGCAGGCACAGCCTGCACTGCACTTACTATATGGAATAAGACGTGGGCTCTGCTCACGAGAAGCTTAGTTTGGTGGGAGGGGTACATTTGAAGGAGGGATGAGGGTCAGCAGATTGTAGAGCCAGCTTCAAATATGTTACTCACAGCCTTGAGTTTGCTTGCTTATGTTTCTTGTGATGCTTACATCTAGTGGTCTGCTGGTAACAATCAGCTTAAAAAGAAAAGCTTGGGGCTGCAGCTTTTGTCAGTTTCCATGGAATAAATACTATTACTGCGGCCAGTTTCAAGCGGCCCATATGAGGCTGTTGGGCACAGAGTGGGAGGAGATGAAGAGGCTCCGGAAGTAGCATCCCACCCTGTAGTATTCACCATACAGGTACAAGATGCATAAGCAATTTCTGGACCATAAGTGTTAACGAGACAATTTGGCAGTGGAGATTTTTAAGTACTGATTACCTTTGTTTTAATATAACTTATTGAGTCAAGTACAGTGGACCCTCCAGTTACGACCGCCTGACATATGACGAACAGCTTGGTTTAATTAGTCTAACGGAACATTCAACTGCCTCTTGTTCTCTATAGCATGTATCCAGGGAAACATCCAGCCCTCAGCTGTACTGACTTACAACCAACTGGAGTGAAAACCAGCCCTTGGGAAGTAGTGGAGTCGGTAAGTCAAGGGTCCACTGCGTATGTAATTTAACTTTTAGTGGTGATTATGTTCACAATTGACTTTCAAAAGTGCTGGACAGTTTGATGGTCAGCTCCGAAGGCCTGGTTGTTTTCTGCATGTTGGTGAAGTATATCAGCTTTCACAGCCAGGTGCGTCCTCCCCATTTTATACACTGTGACTTCTATGTCTTTGTAGCCTCAGAGCCCTGCTCTCACAGAGCCTTGAGCACCATTAATTCACTGTGTTCCACTAGTGTTTCATCTGTATTTGTGTACAAAGATCCTTTATTTTGAACGTTATTTAAGCACCAGGTTGAATTTCTGTTTTTGTGCAGGATAGAAAAGATGAACACACACGTTATCATATGGTCTCTTCGTGAAGCCTTTGTACAAATAATGCATGTTACAGATGCTTATGGTCTTGAGTCATTAGCATAACATATGCTCCTGCTCAGAACGGCGAATGTGCCTCTGCTTTGAAATAGCTCCTGTCTTAGCTTCCACATTCGTACGCCCCGGGTCTGGCTGGATGTGCAAGGATCTTCAGGCCAAAGGATGTGTTTAGACGCCAGTTGCGTTTTGCTAGCCCCAGACTGGACTGTTCAAAGCTGGTGGCATTATTTCTGTCATTGTCATGGTCACCAGTGCCCTGTCCTCATCATCATTACCGACAGGCACTGATTATCAGAGGCCGTCATGTGCATCTCACTGTGACAGACACCACGCAAATCTCCTGGCGCCAACGATCCTTTGAAGGTCAGAGCTCAGACGCAGAGCAGACAGCATCAGGGAAAGCAGTCCCTGAAGTTTCAGTGCAGGAGGTCGGGTGGGTGATGGGGCAGGACCCGAGGAGGGCAGTGCTACAGAATGGCGCAGAACAAGGGCGCGCTGGGGACGTAGGGGGGCAGAGCAGAGAGGCAGGAAGTGGGGAGCCTTAGACACACTTCTCATTCAGGGAGCATGAGCGGGCTGAGGAGAGATAGGCCTGGCCATGGAGAAGGATAAGAAAGAGAGATAGAGAGAGAGAGAGAGAGAGAGACACACACACACACACACACACACACAGAAAGAGTGAGAGATGGGGGAGAGAGACAGAAGGGAAAATACAAACAGGAAGAGTCAGAAAGACAGAGGGAGGGAGGGAGGGGAAAGACAGAAAGAGAAAGCAAAAGAATGAGCGAGAAGAGAAAACCAAACATAGAAATAGGAGGGGGTGGGAGTGGGCTTTGAGGGGTGAGGGGGCATCTTCAGGCCTTGGCAGGCACCCTCTTCCCTCCTTCACAGCCCTCGGGTCTGTCTCCACCTACCTGGCCACCAGCTTTAGGGAAAAGAGACGAAGTGAACCAGAAGAGATGACGGACCTGCGGAGTTGTAACACTTCTGGCCCTTGTGGATTAATTTCTGTGAATTAATTAATTCTTGTGGGCAAATTCAGGGGGAGTTCTTACATCAGCCAGCCAGAGCCAGGACCATGAAAATCTCCCTAAACTCTTGCTCTCCATTTCAAAAAGCATCTAGAATCTTTCTTCGTGAAGGACGCTGTTTGAAAATCTCTGGAGGGGAAGCAGTGTGGCCCTTTATTTTTCAAGGAGATTTTATTAAAAAAAAAGACAAGCCTGGCTTTTGTGCTGCAGCGTTACTATCGATAGACCTGCCAACAGCCAATCCAGGGCAGGTTTGTAGCCTCTGTTTAATTTACTGTCTATTGATGTTTAAGATCCCAGAGAAAACAAAATTTCATTTCTGGAGCATTAATTTACTTCATTTTCCTGGGGACTCTGAGAGTTAATTTAGAAACCCAATGTCATCTTGGGGCACCCAGAGAATTTCTGCTAAAGTGAAAATTGGGGCTTTTTTCTTTTACACCATGAATAGATGAAGTATGACGAAGGAGGAATACATTTTCCTCTGAAAGATGAGCTATTTGACGACTACAGGCCGTTCCCTTTGATACAGAAATCAGTGCTTTGATTTATTGTCATTAGGCTGTCTCCTTCCTTTGCTGAGCCAGGGGCAATCAAAGCGGGGAAAGAAAATTTCACTATTTTTCCTGTAGCCGTTGGGTAATTTCCCGTGAGAATCCTGGATCATTGTTCTCAGGGGCTGATGTTTTATCCATCCTGTGGCCACAGAAGCCTCAAAGAGGAGGATCCTGAGGCAGGCGTAGAGGGTGGAAGTCTGGACCCTGTCCTCTTCCCTCCTGGGACCTGGCCTGTTGGCTTCTCTCCTAGGCTCTGTACTTTTCAGCATTGCCTGATGTTCCCACCTTTGACCTTAAGTGGAAATGAGTCCCCTCGTTCTTCAGAACTTTGTGCTGTGCTCGCCACAGTGAAAGGTCGTGAGTAGACCAGCTCCTTGGGTTTTAATAGGTAAACAGTCCTATTCAGTAGGTCTACAAATACTTATTGAGCACATAAGATGTGTCCCGTGCTGCACAGATCCTGAAGCCAGAGTTTGTGCCTCCCTCAGCTTCTTTGGGTGGGGAAGCTCTGGGGTGGCTGAATTTGCCCTGCAGACGGTGGACTTTGCCTTGTCCTCCACCCGCAACTGCTCAGATCTTGCAGTGGTAGCAGGAAGCTGAGGACCTCCTGGGTACAGGATGCTTCCTGCTCGGCACACACTTGCCGTAGGTGATATGTTTGGCTTTTCTCGGACTTCATTTTTCTTCTCTCTCTCCCAGCCTCTGTTCCCTTCACATCCTGTGAGACCAGCCTCTCACCCTTGACTAGTTTCAGCCACCAACATGTCCATGTAGAGAGTTTTAGGAACAGCCATGCTGTAGGAATTTGGTGGGGTGCACTTGCTTAGAAACCTCATTTGTGTAGAATACTCTTTTGACTTAGGTTACAAACTTGGGAATCTTACATTTATCAACATTTCTAAGAGACCTGATTCACTCCTAACCCAGGGTTTCTATGACCTCTTCATCACTCTCATTATTGGATGGCTTTGGGGAGCATTGGGCTTCTTCAGGCAAACTCAGGCTTGTGCACCCCATCCCTCAAAGTGCGCTGTATGATTATTTTCTAAACTCCATTATGGAAATGTTCCTGAAGTGGGGACGACATCCTTGGAGCATAAGCACTGAGGCCAGGGGGTGGAGGGAGCTGATCTTGGGCATAGAACAAGGCAGGGATAGTGGGGGTACACATGCCATTCTTGGGGACTTTCACTGACTAGCAGGAGCTCTGTGAGGGGCTGCTGCGCCCTTGTATAAAGTCCCCCTCCTCCTGCTTGCCCAGGGGCTGAGGCTTCCCCTCTGGAGACCGGCATTAGGACGATTTTGAAAACTTCTAAAAGGCAACACCTTCTGCAACAGTGGGGGAGAGATGTCCCGCCCAGCTGAAGGTCAGGGTCTTTCCATGGGTGATTGTCAAACTTTAGTGAAAAGTGAGTGGCCGGGAAGGGAGAGCCTTTGTCTCTCAGTTAATTCTGTGGCTAATGTGCATGATCTGGCCAATCAGGGACAGCACCCAAGCCACTGTTTGTCTGCAGTGGAAGCCTGCGATTGCTAGATACTTGTCCTCTGCATTTTTTGACATCATATTGGGGATCAAACCCAGAGCCTTTCTATTGAACTATATCCTCAGCCCCACCCCCCTTATTTTTAATTTTGAGACAGGGTCTCTCTGATTTGCCCAGGCTGGACTTGAGCTTGAAATCCTCCTGCTCAGCCTCCCAGAGTGCTGGAATTATAGGCCTGCAACACCATGCCAGCTTCCAGGGCACTTTTGATCCAAGCACAGGGACTGGCTGGCAGAGAGAGATGCTGGGCCATGCTTTTTCACACAGGTCCTCAACAAAACATGCTGTTTCTCTTTGACCTCACTCATGACCAAGATGTGGGTCGAACTCAGCCTGCTGCTGGGTTTTGGAAGAGGATAGCTAATCGGGCTCTTACCTGGCAATCTTGTCTGTGCAGGACATGGTGACCAGCTGCTCCCCCAGCAGGATGCCGTCCCACGTCTGGACTGCGCTGGGCCCCCGTACGGGCACTGTCCCCTCCCCAGACTCGATCTTGGTGCGTAGGTGCCCTCGGAATTTCCTGACGAGGTGTTTGCTGCTGTTCACTGGGGAGAAAGAGGTGGGGTGAGAGGTGGCAGGGTCACTAGTCCAGGGACGCGGAGGGTCCATGGGTTTTAGAGATGGGAGGTGAGCAGGGAAAAGAGACAGAGGGTGTCATAGGGCCCCCAGCGGGTGGATATAAACGCGGAGTGGGGAATTCCCTTGGTTCAGCAGTGTCGGGGAAGTGCTGGGCTCTAGACCAGTGTGCCCCAGCCCACTCCAGCCCCTGGTCCTGGGAAGGGCACGGAACATCTCTGCAAGTCAGTGTGCCATACAGTTTCTGGCTCCACCACCTGACTCTGCCACTGACCCACAGAAGCACCTGGTGATGCGTTAATGAATGGGTCTGCCTGAGTTCCCCTCGCCATTGATGTATGGACACAAATTTCAGGATGTAAACATAGCACACTACAGGTCATGAAATACTCTGCCCTCCATGTCTATGAGTTCTGCACTTGTGAGTTCAACCAGCTGAGGATTAAAAATATTTAGGAAAAATATTGCTTCTCTACTGAACACACTTTTTTTAATCATCATTTTTCTCTGAACAATACATACAGATGGCCATTGAATAATAAGGTGAATGTGTAAGTTAAGCGAGCTTATTACAGTAAAAGGCATGTAACCAAGAATGTGTCACCAAGAATCAACAGTGGTATTTGAAGAGGGGGATATGTTTTGAGTATTTTGAAGGGGATTAATTGCAACGTGTCTTTTACTGTAACAAATGTTTAAAACTTAAAGACTTCGTATGACAACTATTTACGTGACATTTACATTGCACTGGGTATTATAAGTCATCTAGAGATGATTTAGAACTTATAGGGAGATGTGCCTAAGTTATACATAAACACTACACCATTTTATGTAAGGGACTGGAACATCTATGGGTTTGCTGTGCACAGAGGAGTCAAGTCCCAGAGGATACTGAGCTGTGACTGTATTATTCTTTTCACTTTTTCCAGCCATTTACAAATTGTAAAACCATTCACGTCTAGCTTTCCAGCCACGCAGATAGAGGTCGTAGGTAGGATTTGGCCCCCATGCTGGTGTAGATCTATCGTTTACTAGCTGTGTAACCTTGGGAAAGTTACTTAAACTCACCGCGAAGTGGTTATTGTACTTCCTCTTAAAACAGCAGTATTAGGGCTGGGGATTTAGCTCAGTAGTGCCACTGCCTGCCTTGTAAGCACAAGGTCCCAAGTTCGATCCCCGGTACCCACCCCCCCCAAAACCCAACCAAAAACCCCAAAAAAAAACCCCAAAACAGTGATAGTAGCAGGGCCTGGCTGCTAGGCCTTCAAGGGTTGAGGAGACAGCACACGTGAAAGTTCTGATGCAGCTTGGAGCCCTCAGCTCTTTTTAAATTTCTCTAATTACGAAGGGTCTGCATGAAACAGGCACTTTCCTAGGCCTAGGAATTAGGGGTGTCTTCATTCACCCCTCACGTGTCCTGTGTTGTCCTCCTTTTCTCCCAGAGCCTCGTCCACACATCTACCCACTGTACTGCACACCCCACACTGACTTGGAGAAATAGTATGGACAAGAGGAAATTTGCATTTATTTTTTCTTTCTTTAAAAAACGTTTTGTGGGGGCTGGGGATTTAGCTCCATGGTTCTGCCACACGCCTTACAAGCACAAGGACCTGAGTTCGATCGCCGGTACCCCCCGCCAAAAGTTGTGCATTAGTTTTGGATTGTAATGTATTAGAGAAATGGTTAACTGTTTTGCATACAAATTATATATAAAAACCATAATGATCTGATTATTTACATATATATAAAACATGAATAAATATTAAACACTTGAAAAAAGGGTTTTTATTTAAGTTTTAGAAATTGTGTATATGGAGTCTCCCCCTCGTTTATCCTCATTGAAGTGCTTGATAGAAGATGCAGGTTTTTATGGGAACTTTCTCCCACAGATAGCAGAATTTCTGTAGCACTTTCTTACTGCTTCTAAGCACTAAGTGTCTAAAAGCTACACTTTGGGAAGAGAGGTTGCTGTATTCCTTGGAGAAGGTAAACATTGGGGCGGATTCTTTTACCCTGCAACCAAGCAGACACTTGCTGAGATCCCATTTGGACTTGTCTGTCAGTCATCCATGGAAGGAAGAGTCAAGGACAGAAGGCAACCTGGGCAGGGCACAGGAGGCGGATGCCCGGCCCTGCCACCCCAGGAGGAGGGAGGATCTCTTCTGTGCAGCTCCAAGCGGCCCTGGAAATCGGATGACGATAATGGTGGCGATGACAGTGGTGACTGTGCAGACGTCAGGGCGAGCAGGATGGTGAGGTGGCGGCCCCGTTGCTGCTCGGGTGAGGACAGTTACCACGCCGGCGGTGACGGCACGGACGGTACGGGGAGGCTGGAGATGGTGACCGCGAGGATGGCAATGGCGGCGACGACGGTGATCGGCAGTGATAATGATGATGAGGCGACGGCAGAGATGGGCAGAGGATGATGCTGGTGGCGGTGATGATAAATGCAACACAAAAGAGTTCCTACAACCAAAAAAACGCTTGCGCAAACCTTGAGTCCAACCTGAGCTTTCACACCTTCTGGCGGAGGGGGTCTTTCTCGGGAGGAACTCTCTGGCAGGCTGTGCTGGAAGTAGGGGAGCCAGCGTGCCTCAGTTTCTACAGTGTTACCACAGCGTTGGGAGCTTTTCCATTTGGGAGGCAGTTTCTCAGAGAACCTCATACTTGCTGCTCTTCTATTTCTGTTAATTATAATGTCCTTCTAGTCTCCCAACACTTCAACTACTGTGTGATTTTCCAGGCCTCTAAAGGTGCTTATTACACTGTAAATCCTTTCTAAAGTCTTACCATCTGCTAAGGGCAAGACAACAAGGAGATCTAGCCTGAATTAACTACTGGTTTCTAGGAGTTAACCCAAAGTTTTAAGGCTAGATTCATTTTGCCTCAAGAGCCAGGTGCATGAGACACTCCTGAGAGAGTGTATTTTTGGAGGAGTTAGGTCTCGAGCTGCCTTCTCTAGCACGCTCCCTGCTGAGCTGGAGCACAAAACTCTTTCCTCTGGCTCTGTCTCAGCTAATTGCAAGAGGCAGGAGGGAGCTGAAGATGCCACTTCAAGTAGAAAGAAATGCCAATCTAACCAACAGCTACAGGGGACTGAACTTAAATAATCTGCAGTGTGCCTGAAACAGGGGATGTGCGAAATGCTGAAATCCTGCCTGGAACACGTGCGCAGATACTCCCAAGCCCATGAGCATATGCTAGTCTAACTTTGATCTTCCAAATCATCAGGTTCATCAGTATAGTGTTTATTAACCTAAAACACTTACATTTTGGAGGGACTGATGTTATGGTACATTACTGTAGTAAATAGGCTTTATAAAACTGTTTAAGTGAATATTTTATTTTTAGGGGAGAATCAAAAGGAGATGGTGATAAGTGACAAATAAATCAATTCCTTAGGGAGCTCAAGATTTATCTATAAAGCAATGTATAGTTGTGCAGTGAGATAGGGGAGAGAGAATGAGCCAAAACCAAAAGCAGACAAATCCCCAAATGAGATTTAAAATCCACTACAAAAATATGAGAAAGGAAGAAGATACTTTTAAACCCTAAAAAAAAAAAAAAAAACTTTAAAATTTCAAACTCTCTTCAAAAGGTGTGTCCCAGGGCTGGGGAGGTAAACTCAGTGGCATTGGCAAACTTGAGGCCCTGAGTTCGATTCCCAGTAC